CGAGTTCTGTTTGATGCAGACCTTGTGAATCCTCGTGCGATTGCTGTGGATGCAATTAGAGGGTAAATGGCAGCACAGCACCCATGCTTTGTAAAAGGCTGTATTCTTACAGACCTTTGTGTCGTTATGTTCGTATGGTGGGTTGGAATGAAATGAGATTCACCCACAGGGCAACTGACTACAATGCTGGACCTAGGAGCTGCATTTTCAGTGTTAAAAGTCAGACCCATAATTCACCACTAGCACCATTCCAATAGTGGAAGCTGTAGTGTAAACAGGTCTCACAACAGGGTTAGACAAACCTGCTAGTAAGTACACTGGCATCCTGGCTACCCCATTGGAAAAGCACTGGTGAATAAGTGAGCTGAATTTTCCTCGTGTGCATGCTGCCCCCTACAGTCATTTATTAATCAGTCACTGGCCTGAGACAAAACTCTTCGTGCTCTAAATACTCTGAGTAAATGCTACCGGCTGCAAAGCAAGTAATAGTGGTAATGTCTGGCGTGATAGACATTTCTCTCTCGTGTGCACACGCTCCAGTGAGTTATTTCCTTAAGGGTGTGTAGGAAGGAAGCTCTCAAGATCAGAGCGTGAAACACTTTTACCCTTCTATTTACTAATTTAATATTTGGCTAAATTTACCAGTTATATTCAGTGTTCAGATTTAAAATATCATTGAAAGGGTTTGAATCGTGTACAAATTTGGAACACATTTTTTTATGAAGATTGCTTATAACACCCCATGTTCGTACATTTGCTATCTAGAAAGTTAGTGGGACTGGCCCTAATTACAGAAGAATATCTTCAATCTAATCATTGCAAATGACTGGTTGTAAAAACACATTCTGGAGCTTGTTCCGCTTTCCTTTTAGGGAATTTCACATCCGCTAGTGATCTGTTCCATAAAGCAGACGGAGAGGTCTGGGACTTTTCTGATAGTTCTTGCAATTCTGTTTGTTTTTTTAAATCGGTTCACCCACTGTGAATCCTTACTGTGGTTTGTTAATTGACTCCCCCACAGCAACCTTTACTGGACTGACTGGAATCGTGAAGCACCTAAAATTGAAACCTCAACCGTAGATGGAGCTAACAGAAGGATTCTGGTGAATAAAGACATCGGCTTACCAAATGGCTTGACTTTTGACCCTTTCTCCAAACTGATTTGCTGGGCAGACGCAGGTAACTTAAGCGAATACAGATTGAAACATAGCACATCTATAAAAATTCTCCATACACTTCCCATCATCCCCCTTATAAAAAACAAACAGGGAGTGGACTTTTTCACACATTGCCTGTCTAAACATGACAAATTTTAGATTGAAAGGCAAAAAATACTTTACTGACTTCTGAATATATCTTACTGAGTAAGGTGGTCTTGCTGAAGCTGTGTAATGTTATTTTCTGTTAAGTGTGTTAGCTGGCCTCTATCAGCTAAAACATTGTGGATGATTTTCCTCTACCACACGTTAGGTTATGTATGTGAATGAAGTGTGGATGTCTTCAGCGGTTAAGTGGGCGCTGGGCAGACGGGCTTTAGAGGTACCGGCAGAGGGTAGTATACAGACCAAAGGCTTCCAACTTCAAGCAGTAGAATGTAGAAGAGACTGTAACTCGACCTGGATAGGAGATTTTTGTTTTTAAAGGAAAGGTGAAATAATTTAACTTCTAAAATGGGGATGCCTGTATATAGTTTCTAAAAAACTGTTCCTTATTTGGATTTCTCCGCAATTCTTTTGCATATGGTTTTGACTGTCATGAATATTAACGTGGAATTGTAACATTTAACACACAACAGCTAGTACTTCATCACAAGACTGTATTGGCTGCTATACACAGATGGACATTTTCTGTACCTATGCAGCATCGAAGGAGCACACATGTGTAGCTGCATTTTGTACTGAGATATGTTTAGGCCTGAGTTTAGAATCCACATGGGTCTTTCAGTGAATACTGTATATATGACACAGATTGAAGAACTGAGCCTCTGTACAGAGGCACATAGACAAAAATAAAGTACCGTATATACTCATTCATTAGCCCATTTGTTTATAAGCCGACCCCCCCCAAGATGGATAGGTAAAAATAGCAAAAACTGTATCATCCTTTCATAAGCCGACTCTGTATTTCAGGGGTTGCCAAACTTTGGCTCCCAGCCCCTCAGGGTAAGTTGCGAGCAGGCCAGGACGTTTTATTTACCTGGAGCGTTCGCAGGCATGGAGCCCCTCAGCTCCCAGTGGCTGTGGTTTGCAGTTCCCAGCCAATAGGTGCTGCGGGAAGCGGCATGGGCTGAGGGACATGCTGGCCACCACGTCCCGCAGCTCCGATGGGCTGGGAACAGCGAAGTGCAGCCACTGGGAGCTGAGGGGCTCTGGGCCTGCGAACACTCCAGGCAAACAAAATGACCAAGTATTAGATATTCAATTGAATAGAGCTTAAAATCATCAAATTTTGGTGTAGACCCATTGGTAAGCCGACCCCTGCTCTTTAATGCTTATGAACAAGTATATATAGAAATTGCTTTCCTTTACATCCCTATAGTGGATTGAGCAGAGGTGCATGCAGACCTGCCCAGTCAAACTGGGAATTCCATTTCAGTCTCTATACTCCCAGTATAGAACCAATTCCTCTAGGGTAAAGAAAACACCCTAGAAAACCAAAATTCTAGTTATCCTCCATTATGTGGATTTTCACATTCTTTACAAGGAAGGGACCTAGGATACAAGTTGACTGATCAGGACTGTTCTGATGATCATCATTAGGCCACAATAGGCTGTGGCCTACTAGCCTGAGTAAAATTCCATGGGAAATACACTATTTCTTGCCTGATTAAATGTTTTATTTGTGAAAGGTACCAAGAAGCTGGAGTGCACGTTACCAGATGGAACAGGAAGGCGTGTCATTCAGAATAACCTCAACTACCCCTTCAGCATTGTTAGTTATGCCAATCACTTTTATCACACTGACTGGAGAAGGTAGGCTAGTAACTATTACACCTTAGATAGTCACCTAACTATTTAAGGGCAAAATGCCAGCATGTCATCTTTAAGCAGCAATCCAGCCTATTGGATTATTGACAGTTATGGGGTGGTTTGGGGGTTTTCTGTTCCATAGCAGTTGTTCAGCCTACACTGAATAATGTTAACTCACAAGAATATCAAGTTCTTGTTTTCCAAGTTTCCTTGGTACTACAGACAGCTAAAATTCAGTTGAAAACCCCTAAGTGAATCTAATATACAAGTTAGTCACTTTCACAGAAACCATCTGTGTCAAATACACTGCAAAATCAACCCCATGTTCCTCAAGCCAGTTCTGTTTAGTAGTCCTGTCAATGGAGGCCCAAATGTAATATGCACTTTGCATTAAAAGCAGTGTACAAATGGTATATAATTATTTTAAAAGAACCTACCCCCAGCTTTCACATTATCCGTGCAAAAAAATAAAATTAAAAAAAATCAAATCTATGAATGGTGCTACAACGATATTTTTATAAAACTGTAGTGCCATTACACTTGGTGTTTAAAAAAAAAGGTAAAAAGCTTGACTCCCTTTTCCAAACATGCCCCATAACGAAGGCCCTCTTCCTGTTCCTTCTACCCACTCCAAAAAACCCTTATAGTGACAGTGCTGGCAACAAGGAACCAGTCCTGACCTCATTGCAGGCATTCATGCAATCCCAGTACATTATTTTCAATTTAAACCTGTACGTCCTTTCCAAATGTTCAGTGACACAGACATTTGGGAGGCGATACCGCCTCCTTGGAAAGTTCCCTTAGTGATTCTGCCCTGGGCTGATTAAAATAATAACACAACGAATCAGCTTGATGCAGTTACTGGGTGAGGTTCTCGGGCCTGTGTTATGCAAGAGGTCAGAATAAATTATAATGGTTCCTTGTGTCTTAAATTCTGTGAACATAGAACTACTTCTGAAAGAGGATTTATTTCTGTGAGAGACTAAAGCATTTCTCACTTTTGTTAATAGGGATGGTGTTATAGCTGTGAATAAAGACAATGGCTTCCTTACTGATGAATATCTTCCAGAGCAGAGATCACATCTCTATGGAATAACTGCAGTTTACCCATACTGCCCAGGAGGTAAAGTCCATCTTGTTTAGTGTAGACCAGCTATTTGCCAATATGTAAATTTCACTGTATTAACTTTAATCTATTTCCTCTCACTCTCTGCAGCAAGAAAATAATTAGCTACTTCAAGTAAAAAAAGTTCAATCTTTACACCTGGAGGAAGAATTCCAGACCCAGAAAATTATCACCACATACAGTGGAGGGGAAGAAAGTCTGCAAACAAGAGGCCATTGATATTTACTGAAGACAATGAAGTGATCTATTTTAGTGCAAAAGATTATCAAGTATTTTTTAAGTTATACCTCAATCTTTACTACTGTATTTTTTTAAAAAGACATTTTGATATATTACAAGAAAATATAATGGCTCTGGGAATACTATGCCATTACTCTAATTTTTGCTTATGTAAGCAATTTTTAAAAAAAGTCTTAATGTAACTTTAATCCATTGTTTTATTTTATGGGAAGGAATTAAAACACAAATCGACAATCTGACCAATAGGTTCTTTTTAGCTAAAAAGTTAAATGGGTATGGAAAGATTTTAATGCAATGTCTTACCTGGGTCAATTAATCTACAGCCCTGATCTTGAGTATTTAGGAAATTATGCCAAACTGTCATGGGAAATGGCAAATGCATTAAAGATTTTCCAACATACAGTTCTAGATATCTTTCCCTCTGCCTCAATGCATGTCTTTTAGTATTTATATTAGAATATGCTAACTTGATGGTCCTTAAGTGCCTCCAGAGACCTACCCATTACATGTTCGTAAATACCTGTTAAACTGTAATGTCTCACTTTTTCTAGGTTACTTCAGTAATAAATAAAGGGTTTGTTTTGAATTTTCCATATGACCTAGTTTTTAAATGTTTTTGTTCCATAGCAGAGTTCAGAGTAGTAGTAATTGTGCCAAAACCAGGATTTCATAATGCAGGAATATAGCAACACAGAATTCCACAAATCTTTATATAACACGCCCTTTTAAACACAAAATCAAAGATAAGGAATGAGTGACTACTATACTTAGCAACTTATAGCTAAACAGAACAATTTGTATCTATTTCCCCAACTTTATTTAAAGAAAAATGATGGTAATTCACTAGACCAGTCAGAATTCCATTTCCTCTTTGCTCTCTTTCAAAACAGTGGAATATCCATTTCAAAATGCATGCCAGAGTTGTACTTAGTACAATTAGGAACTAAGTACACAAGAGACTACAGTCAACTTGCTCATCTTCCAACTTTCCCCAGTCTGTGGTCTGTCTTTGGATCAGCAATAATTGCCTGAACTGCTACGATGGCTTCATTAATTTTTGTTTGCAGCTCTCGGAGTTCCTCTATATGCAGCAATCGAAGAATTTGGGCAGCTTCATTAAGGACAGCATCTAGTTCATTGGCAAAAGGAGATATGGATTAATGGTTAATAAGCACTTTCAATTTACAGACATGGAGACAGACCAGAATAATTTCTAAACCAATTCACGGTTGTATGAAAAGCTCAGAGCACGAACTAAGTGAACAAAGGAACTGCAGCAGACCTGAAAATGAATTAGTTTAATGGTAAAAGGGATATCTGTGCCAGTCAGATTAGACTAGACTGTAGACAGTTGACCATTATTCAGTCAAACAGAGAGCACATCAGTTTGTACTATTACATCTGGCTAAAGCATCCTACTTGCAAACCAATAATCAAAACACAGCAGATCACCACTAGTCCCTTTGGCAACCATTAAATCAACACAGGTCCTCTGCCAGGAGAAACAAGGTTTTGACAGTGTCTTGTTAAAAGGATAAATCCCTCCTGCAATAAAATATGTCAGCCTTTACATGACCGCAACATATAAACATTATCCTGAGATATTATTCTACTCCAGAGGTGGGCAAACTATGGGCTGCGGGCCAGATCCGGCCTGCGGGATTGCCCCCCGTGGCACTGTGGGCCCCGTGCCGCACTCAGAGGCGGCCGGCACCAAGTCCCTGCAGTTCCCGGGCAGGGGGCAGAGGGCTCCGTGCGTTGACCATGCCTCCAGGCACCGCCCCCCACAGCTCCCATTGACCGGGAACGGGGAACCGTGGCCAATGGGAGCTTCGGGGGAGGTACCTGGAGGCGTGGCAAGGGGAGCGCATGCGGAGCCCTCCGCTCCCCCTTCCCCAGGGGCTGCAGCGCTTCCTGGAGCAACGTGGGGTCGGGGACAGGGCAGGCAGGGAGCCTGCCCTGGCCCCGGTGCGCACTGCTGCCACCCCGGAGCCGCTTTAGGTAAGCGGCACTGGGCTGGAGCCTGAACCCCTCCTGCATCCCGCTCCCCAACTCACTGCCCTAAGCCCCCTCCTTGCACCTTGCACCCCAACTCCCTGCCCTGAGCCCCCTCATACACCCCATGCCCCTCCTGCACCCCTGCCCCCCTCCTCTGCTCCAATCCCTTGCCCTGAGCCCCTTCCTGCACACTGCACCCCCTCCCACACCCTAACCCCCTGCCCTGCTTACAGTTTCCCCACCCAGATGTGGCCCTCGGCCCAAAAAGTTTGCCCACCCCTGTTCTACTCCATCAATACAGTCTTCTACTTTTATGCTCCAGCAGAAGATGGAAGAGAACTTTTGTAAACAAGTTCCTGTAAGTAAGAAAAACATCCCTTTTGGCTTCTGGAAAAATGCCTTTTTACTGTACACATCATATACTTCTAGAGATTAACTATGTACTTAGTCCAATGCAGCATCACTGTTAAACCATATATAAAAAATAAAATCTCTTACCTCCGGTGTCAAAACCAAGAATGTGCTTTTCTAAAGCAACAGGCAAACCCTTGAAGAAAAAAATAATAATTAAAATGCCATTAGAAATGCTTTGGTGGGGGGGGGGGGAAATCAGACATTGACTAAATAACTTTGGAGTAAAATGGACCATAATTTTGCCCCACTAAAACACAAATGTGATCATTCTGGTTGAACCCACCTGAGTACCATGTTCCCCACAAGGACAGCATTTGACCCAGTGTAGTGCAATGGGTAATCTAGCTGTACATAAAAGGGAAAGAGTTTCATCCTTAACACCATTCCCTACGTTCATTCGTTATCTCGCCTGTTCGTAGAGCACAGAGTGCACACTTTGGATCACCTGTTTCCAAAGAGCCTGGTCTGCCATCGTTGCGGTCTGCTCTATACTCAGGCAGACGAGGTTGGAAGCTACAACAGCTCTCCAGCGTGAGGCACAAGGTCTTCTACATCCAGCTTTTATTGGATTAAATGCATAAGGCTGGTATGGACTCTGGCATACAGACCAGATGGCCAAGCCACCTGAGCCAGTGTTGAGTCATTTGGGAAGATATCGGCGGCTGGCTGGTCTGTTGCCTGACATACTCGTTCGTAATGTGATGAAACTACCATACACCTTCAATACATCGCAGTAGTTTCATGTCCAAAGTATTCAGCTGGGGCATTTGTGTCTGTGGTGGCCCAGGTTTCAGAGCCACACAAAAGGACAAAAGCCCCTTCTGCTTGATAGATTTGCATCTTAAGAGTCGATATGTGGCCAGAGGCTTCCAAAGAGCATGCGTAACACCCAGAAGCTTGCTTATTTGATGACTTTCAGGGCACTGATATGGTTCGTTCGTGAGGATGCGAATATAGCCACGTCAGCCGCATATTCCAAGCTTGCTATGCAGAAGCCCGACAGTACAACCCTCAGTATGCAGCTAATGACGGTTTCCTTAGTCGGTCAATAATGGTGTAGAACAGTTCTGGGGCAGCCAGGCACCCTTGGTGGATGCCTTAGTTGTATTCAAACCAGCTGGACATCCTAGCACCTAAGCGGACACAGCTGTCACTTTGGCACTGCATTTCTACGAGACGATTGAGGAGCTTGCCAGGCACACCAGCAGCCAAAGGGGCAATGATCAACAAAGTCAAAGGCAGCTTTTAAGCCTACAAAGGCTGTATGCACTTCATCCTTCCTCTGCTGAAACTCTTGAGCCTTTTCAATAAATTGGTCTAATGATAAAAATCTGCTCAGTGGTTGATTGGCCAGGTATAAACCCTAGATGTAAACGGCATAGATTCCTTACGGCAGGCTTAACACACTCAAGCACTACCAGCATGAACAGTTGGTTTGGAAGGTAAAGCAAAAAGCATTGCACAATGTTTGGAACACACCAGAGAATCACCTTTCCCTTTCCAAAATGGGAGACTGGCGCCAGTCAGGGGGAGTTTCTCATGACTCCATACGCCCACGATGAAATCCCTGCCATGCTTGAACAGCTCGGCAGCGACATGACAAATACGAGCGGCACAGCCATTCTTGAGCTTACATGCTGAGCTTCAAACCTCCTCGACAGTGACAGATTCTACATTACACAGAGGGGTGGTCACTGGACTCTTCGCAGCCTCCTGGAGTTGCAGCTCTGATGTGGCAGTTCAGAAGCTCCTGAAAGCGTTCTTTCGATACACTCAGACATTCTGCCTCCATGTTCAATGTTACTCCAGCCACCTTTGTTGAGGAAGGATTTTTCTGTGGAGCAGCTTTTCAGGTGTGCAATTCTTTATAGACCATAATCATTGCTGGCTGATGCAGTTCCCATCAATTGATTTTATTTACCCAAAACATCACACAGTCTTGCTTTAAACCTGTGCTACACAAGGCATTGAGGTGTTGGTATTCTTAACCAGGAATTCCCTACCCTGTCCAGTTAATCGGATTTTAATGCAAATTTCTTGCATTTTACCCTCAAAGCTGACCATACCACAGTCCAAGAATTGGGAACATCCAAAATTCGGTTTTACCCAATAGATAACATCTCTAGCCATTCAAATGCACACTTAGCATGCACAATCTACGCCTTCTCAAATAATCATTGCCAATGAGTAACTGCCACATTTTAGTGTTTTAATTTCAAAATACCAAAAGCAAATCAATCATGTTGTAAACTCATCTTAAGCAGGCAACACTGATCCACTTGAAAATATCCATTTGTTCAAAAATTTCTTAAATGCTCTTCCAGCTTGGGAGTAGATTTCTGTAGCCAAGTTTCGAAGTCCTATTTCTACAGTGTTGCTAATAGAAATGCCAAGACAATCGTACAGTGGCACCAGTGTAAGCTTATGTCTACACTACAGTGGCACAGCTACAGTGCTGCAGCTATGCCACTACAGAGCCATAGTTTAGACACTTCCTATATTGACAAAAAGGAGTTTTTCCCTCAATGTAGATAATCTACATCGCCGAGAAGTGGTAGGTACATCAGTGGAAGAAACCTTCAGTACGCCTACACCCATCTACACCAGGGATTAGGTCTACCTAACTATGGCATTCAGGGTTATGAAAAATTTTCATGCCCTGAGTGACTTAGTTTTAGGTGCAGACCAGGCCTAGTAGTTTCATCTGAGATTTTACTGGCTGGGAGACAGAAGTCCATGGACAATGATAATACAAGACTACTTAAACACAAGAGGGAACAATCCAATTACTAAGGCAGTTCAACTGACTGAAAGGTCACAGCTGAACCAAGCAAATTAAGTCAAATCTAGCACAACACCCTCAGTGCAGCTACACAGAGGCTCCTAGAGCATGAGGAAACTTAAGTCAAGTAAGTGGTCCTTTATATGCAATGTTCTCTCCATCTCCTCTCTCCTCCAACCTGTACAGGGTAACTGTCAGATTCAAACTTGTATATTAAATTTCCTCTCTCTTAGATTTTTAAGTCTTTACTTGTAATCATCTAATCAAATGTGTTATTTTCCCATAATTTATGCTGTTTACCTTTTCTACTACGTTCATCTGACACAATGAAAACAATTGTCTCTAATCAGTATCACTGTACATTCACAGGATGCTATATGTTTGGATTGCAAACACTCCAGAAGAACGTTAAATTTCAAGGGAAACTATTTTTAAAATTTGTGGACTGCTATAGATGTTTTCTATTAACAAGCATTTAAAAAACCCAAATTTGGGACCTAAGTTGACCCTCATTGCCTTATGGGGCCTTAGAAGCCAGTGGACATAAGTGAACTCAGTCAGTTCCTTGTTGACTAATTCCCACATACAAAGAAACACCACAAAGCCACAACTAGCATCTTCAGTGTTGAATGAGCATGGACACACTTTCAAAGCAGTCATGGCCCAATGTTTCAATGCAAGTGCTGTGTTTAGGAACTAAAAATTATTCATGCAAGATCTACAGCAGGCTTTGAAGCTACTACTCAAAGCTGTTACCCAGATATGAAAGTCCCTAGCTTTCAGGAGACCAGATAATCCATGTGAAATTCTTAGTTTCGGAACAAAGTGATACACATATTGCTGCAATGTAAACGTGACAACAACCAGTAGTAAATTGGTGACTTGTTTGTTTTAAAGTGTTTTGGAGGACTGAAGCCACTAATGTTACCGTTCTGATGAGAAATACTATTTGTCAATGCCTCCTTCCCACATGGACATGGTGTCAGCTCTCTGTCCATGGAACAAGGGTCCTTTTGGTGATACACAGTGATCTCTGGCTCTCATAGCAGCTGTTCATCCTGGCAAAGCGGCAGGGAAGTCCTCCTCTTCCTGGATCATGTGGTATCTAACAATGTTATTGGGGCAGGCAAGGAGCTGTGGTAGCAACAGATGCTTCTGCAGCAATAGTGGGTGTGCTCTTATTCTCCCGGGGGCTCCGGCTCTTTGCCCAAAGTGATTTTTAGTTCTCTAATGGTGAGCTGGCAACCTGAAATTAAGCCCTGACTACAATACATATAGGAAAGGAAACAAGTGGTCATTTAAAATCCCCTCCATCCAATACACTAATTCACTTTATGGACTCATGTCCAGGAAGAATCAAATTTAATAAGCAGCCAATTTCAATTTTGTGTGACCAAAAATAACTGAAGTCGCCTACTCGTTTTTGCAATCCAGTGCAAATAAAATGAAAGCCTGCCTGATTTCAGGCTGTGCAAAACATCTGCTCCAAGGCTAGCCATTGCATGCAAGTTTTATCCAGCATGGAAGTGTCAAATTTTAAATACTAGTCCCTTAAAATAGAGGGCTATCTTTTCTCTAGAAGCACTGAGGGATACCATTATATAATTTGTTACATAAGACAGTTATTGCTTTCCAGTGACTCTAGTACACATTTATAACAGATGAAGCAAGCAGTGCTGCATTGAATCATCTGCACTGTGCAGCAAGGTCTAGACTGGGGCGGGCAAACTTTTTGGCCTGAGGGCTACATCGGGTTTTGTAAATTGTATGGAGGGCCGGTTAGGGGAGGGGATCGTGGTCTGGCCCCCGCCCCCCCTGCCCCCCCCCCCCCCCCCGCCCCCTCCCCCCCCCCCCCACCTCCCCTGCCCTCTATCCAACCCCCCCACTCCCTGCCCCCTTGCCTAGAGCACCGGGTCAGGCCAGGCTCTGCAGCTGCGCTGCCCCAGGAGCTCACAGCCCCACCGCCCAGAGCACTGCGCCGGCGGCGGGGCGAGCTGAGGCTGCGGGAGAGGGGCCGAGGGCGAGCCTCCCGGGCAAGGAGCTCGGGGGCCGGGCAGGACGGTTTCGCGGGCCGGATGTGGCCCGCAGGCCGTAGTTTGCCCACCTCTGGTCTAGACAATATGGAGGTAAAAAAACGCCTGTGTCCGTTTTACACTTGTGCTCCTGAACCAGCCCCCGGGGTGCTAGTTAACTTGTGCGGATGGTTAATGGCCCTCACAAAGGGCCACTCTGCTGGCCAGGTCCACTGGAGTACATTGGGCTTAGCCTACCCCTTCCTACCTCTGACACACTCCCTATGTCAGAAAAACCCCAGGAATCAGATGCTGTCTTAAGGCAATTTTATATCCCCTTTGTGCCATAAAGAGGATTTATGAAGGAATGAGAATGTGGTCTTGTGGCAAGACACCATAATTAATGTAACTACTGCCTCTCCCTTGCATCTACTGTAAAGACTGATCACAAACCTTTAAATACTGTCATACAAATAAAATGATCTTGTACTGAAAGTTTCTTATGTTTATAGATGGAATTTGTTTGCATATTTCAAATATACCTAAGGTACATTACAGGAATTGGGAAGTATTCATATTCAAAAGTCAGTGATAAAAGTTTCTCTTCAGCTAGCAGTATAATCAGAATCCTAGTCTAGACTCTGATTAAATATTGACCTAGAGCTATAAAGTGTCAGTTAAAAAAATAATAATCTAGTCCATATTTAAATAAGGAAATCTACTGATCTTAAAAGATGTAGTTTTTGACAGTCCTAACCAACTGAAGCTTTCAGTTTATCCACAGAGCTGGTAAAAACAAGTGGGGCTGTGCAAATCTCCCCACACAGTCTTGGCAGCATGCCTCCTCCTTCAGTTGGAGAAATCATCTCTAGGACTTCCATTTCTACATCCATTTAATCCTTAGCCATTGCGTTGAGGCTGCCAAGAATGTCGGAATGACAATTTTTATGCAGAGTCTTGTCCACAGGGCACGGGACAAAGACCATACAGGCGAGTCTCATCTTACGCGGGGGTTCCGTTCCGCAGTCAGCGCGTAAAGCGAAAACCGCGTATAGTCAAAATTACATTGAGTTGAATGGCGGGCGAAATCGCCCGCACTACAGGTACAGTATTAAAATGGTTATTTTTCTCTTTTTTGTTTTGTTTTTGCCGACCGCGTAAAGCTGAAATCGTGCATGTTAAATGCGCGTAAGATGCGACAGACCTGTAGTTTCACTGAAAAGTTATTTAACGGCCATCAGATTGCCCAACTTTGGACACTACCAACCTGAGCTAAGTCTGAAAAGTTTATTATCCTCTCTATCTCATTAAGTTCCTAATGGTTTAACTTCTTAAAAGACATTTTGATCAATTTGGCACAGTACAATGTGAATTACAACCTTTGGTTTTTCTTCCTCCTAGAACGTGGGTTGTGGAAGATCATTATATAATCCATTTATTCTGCTAACATCATTTCCCAAGTCGTGTACATGCATTAACTGAGTACCAAAATGCTCATCCTCTCACAAACCGATTTCCTCCTGTTTGTCTGTCACTTGCTGCACCACTCTAAAATTTAGTCCATAAGCACCCTGGGCTAGTTACTGGCTCATTCGATGCCTTCTATGAAGAGCCAAACACACCTTTGGGAACTATAAAATATTAACAGGTAACCGTGATTGCCGAAAGTAGAGAAGAAAATGGAATACTACCCTCTCCCAAACAAAGAAGAGGATTATGTTTTCTTATAGCAGTTACGGGGGAGAGGGGGGGAAGGAAGAATCGAACTTCTGTTTTCCTACTCCAACACTATAGTGATGTAAGTAACAGCAGCACAGGGTTAGCTTTCAGTTTTACAAGCTTAACATCCTATAACTGATATTGATATAGTAATCTCAGCTGTTCACATATTCTCTTCTTGTAATAGTTTTAAAATCTAATTCTACCACTAACGTACTGTGACACTACACCCCATATTTGTCATGGTAATATTATTATGATATGATTATGGCATAATAATGATGCATTTCATACCTGAGAACTTCAGACAGCCTGTAAGTAATGGCTGCTATGACTCAAGGGCATGTGACCAGACCACATGACTCTAGACTCCATTTTGGGTACCAGTATATTTTTCCACAAACTGGTCTGGGAGCCAAGTTTGAAACAAAGGGTTCCCACTATATGGAAAAGCTATATAAGGCAGGGAGTGACATCATCTGTTGTTCTTCACTCCCCCACAACTCAACAGCTGAAAGAAGCTCTGAAAGAAAAGGACTTGGAATGGGGGTGGGGAACCCAGCTGCAAAGCAAGTACAGCTTGTGCCTTGAGAATCTGCAAGCCTGCTTGTATCATCAGTCAGGGTGAGAAATTGCTAATTCATATCCAATCTTTCTAGTATCTTAGGTCTACTTTGTGGTTTTGTGTATTTACTAGGTAATCTGCTTTGATCTGTTTGATATCACTTAAAAATCTTTTTGTTGTTTATAAACTTGTTTTGTTTTGATTTAAACCAGTGTGCCTTTAAGTGAAGTGTCTAGGGAAGTATCAGAGGGGTAGCCGTGTCTGGATCTGTAAAAAGCAACAAAGAGTCCTGTGGCACCTTAAAGACTAACAGATGTATTGGAGCATAAGCTTTTGTGGGTGAATACCCACTTCGTCAGACGCATGCGTCTAGGGAAAAATCTCAGGTTAGTTAACACAACTTTGTTGCATATTCCTCTCCACATTGAGGGAGAGGTGAACCGGGTAATAAATTCATATTGGTTGGAGTTTTGATCAGGGGTGGGCGGTACAGCTCTGGGGTCCTAGGTTGGGAAGCTGGGGGGTATCTTGGCTGTAGCCTCTCTATTGTTGGTTCATGCAGTGGCTGGTCAGCCTGCATGTAACTGTAGCTCAGTGTGTCCCTGTCTGTATGAATGCGGGAGTGTAGGACTGGGAGCAGTCTACAGCTTGTCCTAGCAGCACAGTGAGAGAGGGAGCCCAGGCTGGTGGGCCAGAGGGCTCAGTGGAACCCCAGTTCCAGGTGGCACCCTGGGTGGAACCCGTCACATGTACATCTAAGGCCTTTGTTTATTGCACCGCTGCTTACTAAGTCAGTGCAGGTTACAACTCAAGACTCATTTGTAGTCACCAATTAACAAATACAAGAAGTGCCATCTATTCATTATCTATCATACAGTAGGTGTTGCTGTGATGTAGATGTCATGAGGGATGAAGGGACCTGCAACTCCTGAGCATACAGTATACAGGTGCTCTTTAAGAACACTTCTGGACAACGCTTTGCCCTAAAGGTGTACAAGTTGCCTTTACTATCTGAACTCAGTACACCACACCAGCAGCTTGTACTGCAAGTAATGGACTGAATGGCCGGAATGTTTAAGAAATGACTCGCTGATAAACCAGAATTCTCTGTGAACATTCCTTTTGCGATGTTTGTCCAAACGCATTCTGAATGTCTTACAAACCTTGCTCTGTAGCCATATTTTCATAGATATATTATTCATGCAATTCTTTCATTATGGAATTATACATCTCAGTCATTTCTCTTTTGGATGAGTAGGGAAAAAAGCCTAGATTCCCTCCCCAACTCCCACAAAAGTCACATGAGAAGCTAGAAGCAGCATAATCTACACTACAGGGAAGAAAATAAAATACTTCCACTTGTTTATTTAGCCATCACTACTATTTGGGAACAAGAGTCAGTCCAGGACCTCTCTTCCTATTCCACTGAAATGATGATACTGAAATCTGTTGTAGTGTATATTATTGTAATGTTAGAGGATTGTGATTACACTCCATTAAGCAGTAAACTTTTGTTTAAATAATTATCATTTACAAATATAGCTATATTTGTAATATGAAAAAAATCACATGCATTTGATTATTGTGTGTGACTTTTCCTTTGGTCTTTCAGATTCAGGTTTGCTGTATGAAGTGGATAAATCTTCTTCTACCTCTCCTACCTGAATGCTACCAAATACAAATTCTAGCCAGAAATAACATCCATTTCTATATTTAAATATACTTGACTGAATACTGTAAAGACTCATTACAGCAGGTGGACTTGCGTTACATTCACTTACCTCCTTCGATTGATTTGCCTTTCCTATGGCGTCCTGAGTCAAGCGCTCTTGAACCAAAATGCGAATTGCCTAGGAAACAAAGTTTGAAGACCAAAGAAAGAATTCCATGTTGATGCATGTCTCTCCAGTACTCCAAGGAAGTCAAACAGCGTGAAGCAGCTTTAACCTCAACCAGAGGCTAGCTCATCCTCAGGATGAACTAGCCATGGTCCCTTCCCAAGTCAGCAGTACCTACTTTTGAGGCTATGTTGACAGCTGGAAGGCCCACAAAATTTTGCACTACTGGAAACTGTCCAATGAAGGTGCTTGCTGCTGCTGGGAGCCCTTTGCCATGGTTTGAGCCCTCGTCCACCCGCCCAGAATCGGAAGTAAATCTGGCTATTGAGTTGTTTATAAAACATGAAGTCAAAAGGACTTGTAATATTTAAAAATTGGGAAAAAAAGTACAGCCTTGATCTTGGATATTTTACAATCCTTCTGCCCATCTGGTTAATTTACTGGCTCCTGCACTTGGCAACTTTCACCACTCCAAGACTATTCATACGGATACATGTCTGTATAAAGGCCTCTAAAAATAACTCGAGGGATACGAGAGAGCCAGAATTAGACCATAACAAAGCAAAAAGTCTGCTCATTACAGCTGTTTCTCTCACCATTTCCTTGCTGAGTTATTCAAGTCTGACAAAAGCACTCAAATTACTTCATGCATCACTTCACTTTCTATTTCTCCTGTTGCCTGACATATGATTAAAGTTGACATGTGACATTACAACATTGATCTAAGGCAATATAGAATTTTCTTTCAAACCAGGGGAACTGGCATTGAGAGAGATTAATTTGACTAAGAATATGAATTTGTTTAGGATGTCTCATCATGAAATCATTACAGCTGCGATGACTATCAAAATAATGAGACTTCGCAGAAAGAAAATTATTTTAGCACTGTTGATACCCGTGAGGAAGGTGTTCTCCCCGGCCAACTTCTCAAAATGTTAGTTGGGCAAAGAGAACATCAAGGAATTTTTGCTTTATTAGCTACTAAGGTTTAGTAAATTTTAGCTGGAACTCTTGTTCTCTCTTAGGCTTTTCTAAAGCAGCCATTGTATAATAGCCAAGTATTAATTTAGATTATCACATTGTTCACATATAGAAATTATGTATCACAAAATTGTGCACAAAACAGCAATTCCACTGACACATTCTAGCAATATCAAGCCACGAGAACAAAATTAGGGTGGTTTATATAGCCAGAACTGCCAACACGAATTTTAGTCTTAACCCAGTTAAAAGCAAAAGAGCTCTCAGGATTTTCTTTGCCGTACTCTCCTCTTGCATGTTGTGTGTTGTCATCCTCTCCACATTTCTGGTCCTATTCACTGCTTTTCTCTTAAATTTTGAAGTTTCAATACATTTACATAGAAAAACATAATACAAATATAGTAGGGCTGTCGATTAATCGCAGTTAACTCACGATGAATTGCGATTAATATTTTAAATCGAGATTAATTTTTTTTTTAGTTAATCACAGTTTTAATCACACTCAAACAATAGAATACCAATTGAAATTTGTTAAATATTTTGGATGTTTTCTACATTTTCAAATATATTGATTTCAATTACAACACAGAATACAAAGTGTACAGTGCTCACTTTATATTATTCATTACAAATATTTGCACGGTAAAAGTGATAAACAAAAGAAATAGTATTTTTCAATTCACCTCACACAAGTACTGTAGTGCAGTCTCTTTATTGTGAAAGTGCAACTTACAAATATACATTTTTTTGGTTACATAACTACACTCAAAAATAAAACAAATGTAAAATTTTAGAGCCTACAAGTCCACTCAGTCCTACTTCTTGTTCAGCCAATCACTAAGACAGACAAGTTTGTTTAGATTTACGGGAGATAATGCTGCCCACTTCTTATTTACAATGTCACCTGAAAGTGAGAACAAGCTTTTGCATGGCACTTTTGTAGCCGGCATTGCAAGATATTTATGTGCCAGATATGCTAAACGTTCGTATGCCCGTTCATGCTTTGGCCACCATTCCAGAGGACATGCTTCCATGATGATGGCACTCGTTAAAAAAATAATACATTAAATAAATGTGACTGAACTCCTTGGGGAAGAATTGCATGTCTCCTGCTCTGTTTTACCCACATTCTGCCATATATTTCATGTTATGGCAGTCTCAGATGATGACCCAACACATGTTGTTCGTTTTAAGAACACTTTCACTGCAGATCTGACAAAAAGCAAAGAAGGTACCAATGTGAAATTTCTAAAGATAGCTACAGCACTCGACCCAAGGTTTAAGAATCTGAAATGCTGTCCAAAATCTGATTGGGACGGGGTGTGGAGCATGTTTTCAGAAGTCTTAAAAGAGCAACACTCCGATGTGGAAACTACAGAACCCGAACCATCAAAAAAGAAAATCGACCTTCTTTTGCTGGCATCGGACTCAGATGATGAAAATGAACATGTGCTGGTCCGCACTGCTTTGGATCATTATTGAGCTGAACCCGTCATCAGCATGGACACATCTTCTGGAATGGTGGTTGAAGCATGAAGGGACATATGACTCTTTAGCGCATCTAGCACATAAGTATCTTGCGACTCCAGCTACAACAGTGCCATGTGAAGCCTTCTTCTCACTTTCAAGTGACATTGTAAACAAGAAGCGGGCAGGCTTATCTCCTGCAAATGTAAACAAACTTGTCTGTCTTAGTGATTGGCTGAACAAGAAGTAGGACTGAGTGGACTTGTAGGCTCTAAAATTTTACATTGTTTTATTTTTGAATACAATTATTTTTTGTACATAATTCTACATTTGTAAGTTCAACTTTCATGATAAAGAGATTGCACTACAGTACTTGTACTAGGTGAATTGCAAAGTACTGTCTCTTGATTTTTTACAGTGGAAATATTTGTAATCAAAAATAAATATAAAGGAAGCACTGTACACTTTGTATTCTGTGTTGTAATTGAAATCAATATATTTGAAAATGTAGACTACATCCAAAAACATTTAAATATATAGTATTCTATTATTGTTTAACATTGCGATTAATTTTTTAAAATCGCTTGACAGCCCTAAAAATATAGTGATTATTGCTGTCTAGCACTGGATATAGTGAAGATGTAAAAACTACATTTTTAACATAGCTATTACAGGTTACCATGTACTTCATAAGAAGGTATTACAAACTTCTAAATCCACACTATCTCCAAAACAAATTTACACTATATTGTAGACCCTGCAGGGCAGGGACCATATCCTTTTATTTGTCTGAAATACCTAGCATATTTTTGGTTGCTGAACAAAACAAAGCTTATTTCCACATTTTGTTATGATCAAGACTGAGGGGTTAGTTTGCTCCAATCCAGTACAATGATGTAAGAATACAGTTTTGATCCGAGATTCATAGAAGACTACAGAGTTCCATCACTGAACCCCAGATCTTCTGTGTCTTCCAATTAGTACTTGGGATAGGAGCATAAATTAAACAATTACTCAGCCAATTTGCTTTATCTGGCCATTAGAAAGTCTGATTAATTTACAGGATAAAATAAAATCTGCTTAAGTTAAGGCAAAGTGGAAGGACAGTCACGTGGAAGAAGTACAGGACTGGAAGTCAGGAGATACAGGTTCTAATTCTGGCTCTGCCGCAGGTTTTTTGAGAGACTCTGGACACATCACCTAGCCTCTGTCCTTAAGTTTCTCCCACCTCTAGAATTGGAATACTATTATTTACTTCACAGGTGTGTTGTGAGGTTTACATTCATTAACATTTTTAAAGCATTCAGAGATACTGGAATAAAAGGCATGAAATAAGTGCAAAGCAGCAGCTTTAGATGGCTCAAGCATTCCAAGTACTGAACACGAATTCTCAGTTAACGACTTCAGGAATTCTACCACCATTTGTTGAAAATCTTTGAAATATAAATGCCCATATCTTCAATTCGGAAGATCATTTTTCTTTTACACCAACCAGAAATTAAGTACAAAATGTATTAGCAGACAAACTTTTATTTGCACCCAAAAATCAAAAGTTACTGACTTCACACGGGGGGAAAAAAACCCACCCATAACATGGCGTGTGAAGTCAGTAACTTTTGATTTTTTGGGTGCAAATAAAAGTTACCCTAGTTGCTCAGACCAGATTCCCAAAATATGAAAAACTAAAGATGTGAACCTCACCTTAAGCATTACCAAATAGTCATCATGTCGCTGGATTTGAAGAAGGTTAGCCAAAGCCATCACTCCAGCCTTAAAGTCAGGATTATTCACTGCAAGATAAATAAATACTGTCATTATATTTGGTTCCAGATATAGAGCAAGAAATCTAACCTGCATTTTGGAACCATAGGCTTAATTTTAGGGCTATCAGCTTGACATCGATCCTGGGAAAGATAGTGGAGCGGCTGATTTGGGACTCAAATACTTAAAGGAGGGTAACGTAATTAATGCAAATCAACATGTTTTTAGAAAATAGATCCTATCGAACTAACTTAATATCATTTTTCACTCAATTACAAGTTTGGTTGGTAAAGGTGGTGTTGACGTAACATGCTTAGACTTCTGTAAGGCATTTGACTTGGTACCATATGACATTTTGATTAAAAAACTAGAATGATATAAAATTAACACGGCTCATATCAAATGGATTAAAAACTGGCTAACTGATAGGTCTCAAAATGTAACTGTAAAATGGAGAATCATCATCAAGCGGGTGTTTCCCCAGTGGGATCTTGCAGAGATCAGTTCTTGGCCCTATGCTATTTAACCTTTGTATGAATGATCTGAAAGCAAACGTAAAATCATCACTGATCAAGTTTGCAGACAACACAGAGATTGGGGAAATGGTAAATAATGAAGAGGACAGTGATCTGGATCACTGTAAACTCGGTGCAAGGAAAGTATGCATTTTAATACAGCTAAACGCAAATGTATACATCTAAGAACAAAATGCAGGCCACAATTATAGGATGGGGGACTCTATCCCGTGAAGCAGCGACTCTGAAAAAGATTTGGGGGTTGTGGTAGATAATCAGTTGAACATGAGCTCCCAGTGTGACGCAATGGCAAAAAAAAAAAAAAAAAAAAAAAAGCTAGTCTTTTCCTGGGATGCCTAAACAAGTGAATCAAGTGGGAGCAGAGAGGTTATTTTACCGCCATATTTGGCACTGGTGCAACCGCTGATGGAATACTCTGTTCAATTCTGGTGTCCACAACTCAAGGATGTTGATAAATTGGAGAGGGTTCAGAGAAGAGTCATGAGCATGATTAAAGGATTAGAAAACAAGCCTTATAGTGATTGAGCTCTTTGAATCTATCTACAGTAAAAGCTGTTTTATCCGGCATGTTGGGGGAATGGGGCGTGCTGGTAAGTGAAAAATTCCGGTTAACTAAGAGGGTGGGAGTTTGGGTGCAGAGCACGGGAGGGGGTGCAGGCTCTGGGAGGGCGTTTGGGTGCGGGAGGGGTTTCAGGGTGCTGGATCCGGGGGCCCCTCACCTCGGGTGACTCCCTGCAAGCGGCAACCTGTCCTGGCTGCTTCTAGGCAGAGGCGCGGCAGGAGGTCCCCCACAGCTCCCAATGGCCACAGTTCCCAGCCAATGGGAGCTGCGTTGCTAGCACTCAGGGCAGGGCGGAGGCAACGCGCAGAGATGCCTGCCGCGCCTCCACCTAGAAACAGCTGAGACAAGTCGCCGCTTGCGGGGAGCCGCCCGAGGTGAATGCCCCCCGGAACCAGCACCCCGCATTCCCTCCCGTGCCCCAAGCCCCCTCCCACACCTAAACTCCCTCCCAGAGCCTGCGCTCTACACTCCTCTACACCTGAATTTACCTGAATTTCAATGAAGATCAGAAATACCGGTTTATAGAGCTTTCCGGTTGGTGAAGGGCCAGATAAAACAGCTTTTACTGTATTAAGCTTAATAAAGAGAAAGTTAAAGTGTAACTTCATTAAGTATCTACATGGGGAATAAATATTTAATAATGGGCTCTTCAATCTACCAGAGAAAGGTATATCATAATCCAATGGCTGGAAGTTGAAGTTAGACAAATGTAGACTGGAAATAAGGCATACATTAATGGTGAGAGTAATTAATCATTAGAACAATTTACAAAGAATCAGAGTGGAGTGTCCACATCGATAACTTTTAAATCAAGAGTATTTTTTTTTTTTTTTTTAGAATTATTACACACACACAGAATTATTTTGGGGAATTTCTATGGCCTGTGTTATACAGGACATTACACTACATGATCACAGTGGACCCTTTTGGCCTTAAAAAGAACAGGAGTACTTGGAATCTACTAGGCCAGTAACCCTGTAAAAGAAGGAAATTAGATTGGTTTGGCATGATTTGTTCTTGACATCCACGTTGGCTATTACTTATCAACTTATTATCCACTAGGTGTTTACAAATTGGTTACTTAATAATTTGGTTACTTAATACTTTGCTCCAGTATCTTTCCAGGGATCAAAATTACACTATAATTACCCAGGCCATCTTTTTACAGATAGGTACTATTGTTTGCCCTTCTCCAGTCCTCTGGGACCTAACCCATCCTCCTTGAGATCTCAAAGAGATCACTAATCATTCGGAGATTGCTTCAGCTAGTTCCTTAAGTACCTAGGGTGCATTTCATCAGGCCCTGTTGACTAGACTACATCTAACTAGACTAGACTAGACTATTCTTTAGAATATTCTTCCCCCCCGCCCCCTTCTTCTGGCTTGCATTCCTTCCTCCTCATGCCCAAATAAAACTCTAGGTACTTTGCTTTACAGGAAAAAGATTCTCCCACCAAAACAAGCTCTTCATCAATCCAATTCAAAAGGACTGGAATTAATATGGAGCAGCTACTTTGGAGCAAACCACTAGCACTCGTCTCTCCTTAAGTATAAATGCAGAGTCTTGGGAAATAAAGCTTTCAAAACAAACATCAAAAGACATAACATGCCTTGAGATAGGTACTTTCACTACAGCATTAGAATACCAGAACTCACACATTTCAAAAACTCTGAAGATGATTTTCTGAATCTATCTGGTATCCAAAATGCTAAAATATGACTTTCAGGTTTTCGCTTAAAATATAGATAGAGGCTGTAGATTTAAGTGGAACAGATTGAAGTAAGATGCATCAACAACAATATTTTTCTAGAGATCAGAAAGATAAAGTTACTGTATATTTACCATCCAAGTTTATCAGTGGCTCTGCATTTTTTGCTGCATTGTCAGTATTTTTAGCACTGTCAGGCGTGGAGTCCTTATACTTATCAGCTGCCAAAATAAAAACAGTTTTGCTTCATAAATGTAAAATTCAGGTGAGAGCTAATGATTAGTTAAAATTAATGGAGCTCAAAGCATAGGAAAAAAACCATTACTAATGTACATGGTTAGCTGCAATTGGGCCAACTGCATTTTCAGCACATGGTAGAAGACTGGCAGCCAAATCAGTTAGTAGATGTTTCAGTTGTTTCCCACTACTGAAACTCCAGAAGAGGAAGATTCTAACAAACCTTGCTCAGGTAGGAGCCGTTACAACTGCCTATGTACTAGCTCAAAGTCGAAGCACAACTGCAGAGATGTGCTACATCATAGGGAGGACATAAAAGCGTGACAGACCAGGGCCGCCCAGGGTGGGGGGGGGGGGGGAAGTGGGGCAATTTGCCCCAGGCCCCGCAGGGGCCCCGCGAGCCCTGGCCCGGCGGCGGTCCAGGACTTCGGCGGCATTTTGACAGCTGGGGGTCCTTCAGTGCTGCCGAAGACACGGAGTGACTGAAGGGCCCCCCGCCGCCGAAGACCTGGACCGCTGCCGGGTGAGTACAAGCGCTGCAGCTCCCCCGCTTTGCCCCAGGCCCCCTGAATCCTCTGGGCGGCCCTGTGACAGACTCTTAAGTGGCAGTCTTCATCCTAGCTAAGCAAGAAGGGACAATTCAACTGATTCTTGTAGAGTGAAGAACTACTATAAAAAAGGCTGTCAACTAGATTTCTAAGCTAGAGCCTCTTCAATATTAATGGAGGGGACATTCAGTAATCACTCTAGATGGGACCATTAGTCACACATTTCAGTTGACCCTGATCCTTGGACATCAGATGGACAGAGTATGACACTTTACTATACAACTGACACCATGCCTATTAGATAACAGGATAGGAATATTACCATTTGATTTCATATAGGGAAAAAATTAAGTATATATCTTGCTAAGAACATTTGACTTGTTATTTCTGCTGAAGATCAAAGATACGCTGAAGAGACAAAAATGTCTTTTCTGAACCTCTGTGCCTCACATTGATCCCATAGTGAAGTCAACCTTGTGTATGATTTCAATTCTTCCTCTGACAACAAACTAGGAAACAAATTATGAGTTAAAAATCAATGCAGAGAAGTTGCTCTGGAAAGGAGAAAACTCTTATTCGAATGTTACAAAATAAAAATAAGAATTCATAAAAATGCTGAAAGTAAATTACACATTTTTAATAAACATACTTTCTATGTGCTCTCATTGCCTCAGGTTGAAAAATCCTGTATAATATTAACAAAATCATTCACAAGTTTCCCCACCACCTTTAAGTAAAGGTATTTAAAAACCAGCCATACCATTATCTCCATACTCAAGCCTAACAGCTAACCCAAGAAGCCAATCGATGGTTTCTTGTCGTTCTTGTATCTTGAAGGGACAGTTAACATCTTTCAGATACTGTGGAGGAGAAAAAATGGGAAAACGCATCCATTATCATGACTGGTTGGAAGGAAACATATCCACGAATTAGTCAACATTGTCAATAATGCTTATCTATCAAAACAGTTCTACAATCCCCTCTTCTATCAAGCTCAGTTTTGTCAGAAGGCTAGTATTAATGAATGATGTCATCCTGAAATACGTTATATTCCCACTGTGGTTCCTCTGAGGCACTTCAGTGCTTCTCATGCCACAATTCATCCATGTCTCTCATCTTAGTACAGCAAAAGCTTTTTTATCCAGCATGTTGGGGGAATGGGGTGATGCCGATAAGTGAAAAAACGCCGGTTAACTAAGAGGGAGGGAGTTTGGGTGTGGGAGGGGGCACAGGGCTGGGGACTGGGTTTCAGGGTGCCGGATCCGGGGGGCGCTCACCGCGGGCAATGGGAGCTGTGGGTGTGACACCTGCAGGCGGAAGCAGCGCATAGAGCCATCTGCTACGCCCCGCATTCCCTCCCCAACCCTGCAACCTCTCCCGCACTCCAAACCCCTTGTGGCCTGTTCCTCTGCCTAGGAGCAGCTTCCGGGGAGCCATGTGAAGCCAGGTAGGGAGCCTGCTGGCCCCACACCAACCAGACTATAAATCAGACTTTCTATGAAGATTAGAAATGCCGGTTTATAGAGCTTTTCGGTTGGTACAGGGCCGGATAACACAGCTTTTACTGCAATCATATCTGCTTCTGAACCAGTGAATAATTGATTTTTTCCTTGTAATATTATAAACAAGAGGTTTAAAACACTACAAAACATTCTAATTAAATTTATATTTATGCCATCACCCTGTCGCCCCTACATTTCCTCCAACACCATAAGCAGGGAAAGCGGAGGACAGGTCAGAAAAACTAAACAACTACACTTCCAGTGCTTTAGGGCTCAATCCTACAAAGTCCTGAGCACTTTAGCCTCATCCCTCAAGACATGGAAGCATCCAAGTAGTCCCACTGAAATAAATGTGCTGAAAGAAAGACTAACTGCTTTGCAGCATCAGATCCAGAGAGTGTTTTAGCACCTTGAAGGTGTTGAGCCCTCAGACAGAAAGGAATGTGGATGTCACAGACAGAGAGGAGAGTGTCAAAGTGTTCATGCACAGCAAGTCTGCCACAAATTGATGGCTATCTGCCATGCTTTCTGCAGGCAGTGGACAATCATCCATCAGAAGTAGCAACAGACAGAGTTGGCTACAGTAGACCTTTATAGGCTGCTAAGACTATCTGATCCTAGTCAGTTTCCACCTTGGTGTATAGTTTTATGCAGAGAAAAACTGACTATTTTTAGTCCATTTCCTTCTGCATCAAAGGTAGAAATACCTTAACCAGTAAGGAAAGAGGTAAGGATACCAATTATTGCAAAAACTGATTGTGTTTAGATTTAAGTGAAAATTACGTATAACAAATTACAGTGTTCAATTACCCCTGCATTTTGGCTTCTGTAAAATATTTAGAACTCTAGCAAATAAAGAATTCATCATTTTCTCTGAGGGATAGCTCAGTGGTTTGAGCATTGGCCTGCTAAACCCAGGGTTGTGAGTTTAATCCTTGAGGGGGCCATTCAGGGATCTGGGGCAAAAATCTGTCTGGGAATTGGTCCTGCTTTGAGCAGGGGGTTGGACTAGATGACCTCCTGAGGTCCCTTCCAACCCTGATATTCTAGGATTCTATATATATTTGTTGTATGCAGTGTTGTTGTAAAAACAACAAGGAGTCTGGTGGCACCTTAAAGACTAACAGATTTATTTGGGCATAAGCTTTCGTGGGTAAAAACCTCACTTCTTCGGATGCATAGAAGTGAGGTTTTTACCCATGAAAGCTTATGCCCAAATAAATCTGTTAGTCTTTAAGGTGCCACCAGACTCCTTGTTGTTTTTGTAGATGCAGACTAACACGGCTACCCCCTGATACTTGAATGTTGTTGTAGCCATCTTCGTCTCAGGATATTAGACAATATGGATGAGGGAATATCTTTGATTGGACCAAATTCTGTTGGTCTCTTCTTCAGCTTTGTGTAAGCACAAAAACTTGTGTCACACACCAACAAAAGTTGGTCCAATAAAAATATTCCCTCACTCACCTTGTGTCTCAAATATATTTGTTGTAACATATACATTGAGTAAAAAGACAGATGGTTTATCACCAAAACCAACTACCACACATAGGTTATAACGTGTTCTACTGTTTCAGGTACAAAGTTACCTTTTCAAAGGCTTTAGGCCATTCGTCATTGTGTATGTTTCTTAGACTTCCTCGGTCTTCAATCTTGTAGTGTCTGATTTTCTGGTCTTCGAGCCACACAATAAAGTTTCTAAATTCTGTTTCATCTATAGCCAGAAATAAAAACAATAAACTAAATAATACATCAGAATAAAGTCATGTTTTCTTACAGAAGTCAATGAGGGCAGAAGCAGGCCCTTAAATTCTGATCCACTGCATGAAGATAATTTGAATACCTGTGTCCCCAGCCAACTCTTTTCCTTTTTAAATGCTATTTGTCCAGTGATTCCAAAAATACACCTTAATTTATAATTTTTCACCATGTGGACTCTTGGTGAGAATTTACTTGACTGTTTTAATCATGTTAAAAATAGGCTTGAAAACTTCTAGTCAGTCAACAACAAGAACAGATTTTTGTTAGAAAATTTAGTTATAATTACTACTAAGTGAAGTATGAGCAATGATAGGATCTATTCAATGGTCTATCAAGTCTCAGGTTACAAGAGAGATTGGCTAGCAGGTCACTAAAACAAGGATGCCACATTTTGCAATGTACATCAATACTGTCTTGTAAAGACAACCTTCATATATATTATACATGCACACACCCCTCTACCTCCTCATGAGGCAGTGTAGAAAGAATTTTTTTCCTGATCAGTGATCTAGGATTGACATGAACAGACAAAATATTAAAAACTGTCCATGTAGATTCTTAGGGTGAGATAATTAAGATACTGTGCTAAATTACATTAAATCAGAAACACATAATGGCAACAGCAGTATCTGTATCCATCTGCTAAAGCATTCTTAGTCAGAATGCAAAAATTCAGTGCTTAGAGTATGGGTGTTATCTCACTTTTCAAAATATCCTGTCAGTCTGGGATCTGGGAGGCTTTTAGAGTCCCATGCTAGTGATTTTATAAGTAGCTCTTGCTTACACATTCAAGATATACAACTGTCTAAGTAGAGAAAATACAAGGCTTTTAAAAAGGGCAACAGTCTGATACTGTTTTCATAACCTTCTGCTGTGGAGAGAGTAACTGCTTATAGCAGTAGGACCACTGGTCATAAATAGTTTCTCAAACTCTGATAGGAAAGTGAACCACAGCAGAGAGAGATCATAGAATCATAGGACTGAAAGGACCTCTAGAGGTCATCTAGTCCAGTCCCCTGCACTCCTGGCAGGACTAAGTATTATATAGACCAGGGGTAGCACACGTGCCGAACGCAGCACGCAAGCTGATTTTCAGTGGCACTCACACTGCTGGGGTCCTAGCCACCGGTCCAGAGGGCTCTGCATTTTAAATTTAATTTTAAATGAAGCTTCTTAAACATTTTAAAACCCTTATTTCTTTTACATACAACAATAGTTTAGTTATATATTATAGACTTATAGAAAGAGACCTAAAAACGTTAAAATGTATTACTGGCACGCAAAACCTTAAATTAGAGTGAATACATTAAGACTCGGCACACCACTTCTGAAAGTATCAGCGGGGTAGTCGTGTTAGTCTGGATCTGTAAAAAGCAACAGAGTCCTGTGGCACCTTATAGACTAGCATAAGCTTTCATGGGTGAATACCCACTTCGTAGTCATCCATGAAAGCTTATGCTCCAATACATCTGTTAGTTTATAAGGTGCCACAGGACTCTTCGTTGCTTTTCACTTCTGAAAGGTTACCAGCCCCTGATCTAGACATATATATTAAGTATCATTTAAGAACTATTAAGATTTACATAGTATTAAAGTTAACAAAAACACAGAAAAATATTTTAGCAAATTAGGTAAGTGATGTATATTAAATGAAATTCTTCTCATTATGATCCTGTTCCCCTATTCAATTCTACTATATTTCAGCAACAAATATTTTCTGGACCACTTGGAGTTAGAGATTACTGCTTTATAATATTAGAAGTGTGGGGCCTAGATTCACAAAGGAAGTTGGGTGTGGCCAGTTTTGCCACATCTAACTTTTAGGTGCCTAAAGAACCACTGCGATGCACAAAGCCTGAGTTAGGTGCTCAGGATCCCTATACAACGAATGGAGGGAGATAAGTGCCTCAGAATAGAATTCACAAAAGCCAGCAGGCAAGGCAGCTCCCAGCCTAAGCTGGTCAATGGGAGATACAGGGGAGAGGGTGGTGTCTCTAAGCCTCCCGCTCCCCCATGCCCAGTTCCTCCTCCTGCTTGGGATTATCAGCTGCAAACCCTTTCTAGGGGTTCAGCGACTATTCTGTTTTTGCAAGAAGATGGAGTGGGAAGAAGACCAGGAGAGCAAACATGGGAATGACTCTATAGCCTGGTGGTTAGAGCACTCACCCAGAATGTGGAAGCCCCAGAATCTAGTCCTACTGCTCCAATTACTATTTATCTATCCACGGTCGAACAGCTTCAACAGGAGAGATTGGGGGAGACCCTCATCAGAATATTCAACAGCCCATGGCTAGGAAACTCAAAGAGGTGGCAGATCCCTGTTCAAATCCCTTCTCTCCCAGATGGAGGTGGGGGTTCGAACCTGGGGTTTCGTGTATCCCAGGTAAGTACCCTAATAACTGGACTAAAAGTCATAAGGCAAGACACTCCTCCTCCTCCAACCATTTTACATGAGCTTGTGAGCGGGGCCTGTTCCAGTAAGCAGCCTCCGAACATGCCCCACAAATAAGTTAGGCAGAGGAACATCTATCTTCCACTAGGTTTGTACATCACACTAGAGCTTAGACATCTGGATGCCGCGAGTGAGGAAGCACTATGCATGCTCAGAGGCAGAAACACAGGTGCCTAGGAAACGTTTATTGCAAAAGCTTAGGCATTGAGTGTGTTCAGGCACCTACAGGGTTCAGAGCAGCTGAGCAGGGGTTTTGTGAATCCCAGTGGGGTTTTATTCTGGCATTTAGGCATCTAACATGGAAATTAAGCACCTAAGCCCCTTTGTGAATGTAGTCCTAGGTTTCCTGGCTCTCATTCAATGTAAAATGCTTATTTCAAATCTAACAGGTCCTACAGAACAATCACTAAATTAGACTGGAATTGAGGCCAGGGTATGGAGGGAGGGGTGGAAGATGGTTATCAAAGTGACATGAATGTAATATCTCATTGGCCACCTGGTCCAGAAAACAAAGACAACCTGCTCTTCAGTGATATACAACATTATTTTCTAAACACAGTTGATCAATGTTTTTAAGCTATGGTATCTCACATTGGCCCCTCAAAGCAGCAGTGCTATTTTGCATAGGTTCAGTCCTTAATATCCTGTAGTAAATTCTACTCCTGGACCTCAGACCAGGGTAATTTTCAATCCTTGCAGTGAGCCATTCTTTCAGCAGGGGTGGAGATCGATGTTCCCAATGCCCCAAAAATGTTTTGGCAGAATAATGTACCCTAAACCTGTTGAAAGCAGAAGAGCGGAAAAAGATGTGCTCCCAACATAAATGAAGGGGAACTGCCTGATAAGATAGATTTGATAAGGTAGCCTCAACAGTGATCAAGGTGCACCACAAAGCACTTTAGACAAGCAACGCTGGCAAATGTCAGTATGCAAGAACATCTCTTTTCCGCTTGCTGAAGGAGCCACCAGGGAAAAAGACAACAAACCACCTGAAGCTTAAAACTGAACAAACAGGCCAAACTACACATCTATCTAATCTATCTATACATACACACATACCTATCACCCAAAAGACTACAGTAAAAGAACATTAAGGTTGCAAAAATCAAGCGCTGAAAAGTTAGGAAATGCCAGAATTAGGGTTGCTTGTGCATATGCATTATGATACAGTCTATAATTACATGATCACATACTGGTTTTTTCCATAGGAACACCACCTCATTCAGTGGAGGTTGGACCTGCTCTGGGGGATGAATCGGGGCTATGTGTGAATCAGACCAGCCTGTAGGACAACTGCGCCTCATTGGTTGTAGAAGTTGGAAGGTGTGTCCTGAACAAGGCAGGGATTGCAGGAAGAGAAAGGATGATCTCATGGTAAAAAGTCAGCCGAATGTTGCCCTGGAGAACTGGATTTTATCCCTACCTCTGGCACAGAGCTCCTACATCATGCTAGGTAGGTTACTTAAAACCAGACTTTTCACAGGTGGCACCTAAATTGCGTGTTCATTTTTTTTAGGTGCCCAACTTGAGACCCTGGGATCTGAACTACAGAAGCGCTGAGCACTCACAATTGCAACCAACATCAATCCAAGCTGCGTTTGAACACGTAAAGCAACATATAATGGGAAGCACTCTGAAAAATCAGTTACTAGGTAGCTCAAACTGGTCATCTGTGCCTCAGGTCCATAACTGCAAAATGGGTATATAATAATATCACCTTAGCCCACAGAAGTCTTGTGAAAATAAATTCATTACTGGTTTGGGAAGCACTCAAATATTGTTGTGATGAGTACCATGGAAAAGCTCATGAGGAAATAATTCTGTGATCAGGGAAAAGTTTGAATAGTAAGGTAGGTCTAGGGTAGGGTAATCAGATAGCAAGTGTGAAAAATCGGGATGGGGTGGGGGGTAATAGAAGCCCATACAAAAAAAAAAAGCCCCAAATAATCTTGTCCCTGTAAAATCGGGACATCTGGTCACCCTAGTCTAGGGCCACATCCTGAACAACGAAGATAAAACAAAATACTGCATAGCTGTTCATTAACTGAGCAGATCCTGTGCACTGAGATAGCAGTCTGTGGGGGAAAAAATTGAATATGATCATCAAGTAATTACACACTATAAAATAATGCACACACCCAGTTGAAGTAAGGTTGCACAGGCAACTTGAAATCTGGCATTTGCTAACTTTTGACAGTGTAACTTTACAACCTTCATGAATGAATTAAAAAATAAACACACAGATATTTGCCCCAGAAACAGCCTTATCGAACATTGCCCAGGAACATTTCTTTCATCGCCTGATTGCCAGAGAGGACAAAGTGTTGATTGTTAATTAACCTTTCCTAACGCTCCCTTTCCCCAGCCCAGGCGAGCCCACGGTAGGGAATCCACCCACCCCAAACACACGCACGCTTTTCTGCTCCTAGGGGGAGGGGGAGGATGCCAGGCCACGCAACCCCGTGTGCATGAAGCCAGCGATAAAGGCCGGAGCAGCTGCCAACCAGCTGGGCCAATGGGGCCAGAGAAGGCGGAGGATGAAGGGTCCGTAGAGCAGCCCTAGAGCACTGCAGGAGCTGGAGGGGATGGACGCCCTAAGGCCAGAGCTAGGGATGACGACGGGGGCAACTAAAGCAGAGGGGGCGGGACGTCCCGGGGCCAGACTGGAGGGGGGGGACGTGGCGCCCCGGGGGCTACCAGTGCAGAGGGGGGCGGGGCGCCCCGGGGCCAGACGGGGGGGGGCTAACCAGAGCAGAAGGGGGCGGGGCGCCCCGGGGCCAGACTGGAGGGGGGGGCAGGGCGCCCCGGGGGCTACTAAAACAGAGGAGGCAGGACGTCCCGGGGCCAGACTGGGGGGGCGGGGCGCCCCGGGGGCTACCAGTGCAGAGGGGGGCGGGGCGCCCCAGGGCCAGACGGGGGGGCTACCAGAGCAGAGGGGGGCGGGGCGCCCCGGGGCCAGACGGGGGGGGCTACCAGAGCAGAGGGGGGCGGGGCGCCCCGGGGCCAGACGGGCGCCTCGGGGGCACGGCTCAGGGTAGCCGGGGACGGTGAGAAGGGGCCTAGCGCAGCTTGGGGGAGGTGGAGCCCGTCTGGGGAGAGGGGCCGGCGGCCTAGTCCCCTCGCGGCGCCCGGCCCCGCACCTCGGCAGTTGAAGCCGGCCGGGTTGTGGTAATCCAGCGCCGTCAGCTTTCGGCGGAACATGGTCCTTCCGCGGGCCGCAGCGCCTCAGCCTCCGCGCAGCAGTCGCTCGCTCGCAGCGCCGGGCAGCGGGAGAAGGGCGGGGAGAAAGGGGAGGCCTAGGCCGCCCATTGGCCCAAGCCCGAGAGCGGCAGCTGCCGCGACCAATCGGCTGCCCGCAGAGCGAGCGCGAGGGCCGAAGCCAGCGGGGCAGCAGGGCGAGAGGCCTCGCGTTCAACCAACTTTATTGACAGCGCCACAGGCGGACACGGGCAGGCCGCGGAGAGGAGGGGCGGAGGGATAGATGGCGGGGGGCGGGGCAGAGAGAATGGGTGGGGGCTGTGGGCGGGGCTTAGGGAGGGAGAAGGGCAATTAGGTCATAGGGAGAGGCACAGATAGAGGGGGCTTAGGGTGACCAGACAGCAAATGTGAAAAATCGGAATAGGGGTGGGGGGCAATAGGAGCCTATATAAGAAAAAGACCCAAAAAGCGGGACTGTCCCTATAAAATCGGGACATCTGGTCACCCTAAGGGGGAGGGAGAAGGAGGGTTGTGTGAGAGAAACAGATGGGGAGGGGCACAGATAGGGGAGGAAGTTGGGGGAGGGGCACAGATAGGGGAGGAAGTTGGGGGGGCACAGAGGGGGAGGAAGTTGGGGGAGGGGCACAGAGGGGGAGGAAGTTGGGGGAGGGGTACAGATAGAGGAGGAGGGAAAAGGGGGTTGTGTGAGAGGCACAGATGGGGAGGGGAGGAAGGTGGGGGGGGGGGAACGGGGGAGGGGGGTGGGGAAGAGGTGGGTGAGGGATACAGGAGGAGCCCCAGGTTGCCCCCAGCACCAACAGCTTGAACACTCCCCAGCCGTCTCTCAGCTGGTCTCAGCTCCTGTTTTGGAATGGGGTGTCAGAGAAAATCTTAGCCATGTGGACACACAAGGTCATGAAATCTTAGCATTCAGTCACTGGAGAGTCTGACCAATCTAGATTTGGACCATTTCAACTGGGAGAGAAGACAGAGGCAAAATAGTTCTTTTAAACATATTAGCACAAGGGCTGGTTATCAAATGGGGCCTCCAAAGAGAGGATGGAAATGTCAAGGTGGCAGCCCCTTCTGGCTCATCAGGGCACAGCTGCCCCACTGCAGATCCCAACAGTTGGGTGTTACCCCCCACCAATCTAGTGCCATGGGGCCTTTGCCTTCCGCAGTGTTAGATTCCAAAACAAAAATGAAAACAGTGAACTAAAAATCAGGGTTATCTGAGGATTTGTCAACAGGACCCAGCCTTTCTGCTCTGTGTTTGTCTCCATCTGGGTAGTCCCTTCTTCTCCATCTGCCTGGGCCTAGTCATCCCATCTACTAAATGACTCTACAGATCTTGTGTACACCCTATTACTCTCTTCTTCCATTCAATCTGCCAGCAACTTCTCTACACCCTGTCAGTGAGTATAGAAGCTTCAAGCCACCCAATCCGCTTTTTCTCCTGCCATAACTGGACCAAGTGCATTTGCTTCTAATGTGGTGGAAGGCCAGAAGACTGCTAGGCATGCATATGCAGTCAATGAAATATGAATGAAAAGTTAAAGAGGCAAAATTAAGACTCCTTTTAAAACAAAAAGAGAGGCAAGCCTCTGTTTTTTACATGGTTGTAGAAAAATCTATTTCATGAACTAGAAGGCAATGGCAGAGCTTTCCCATAGATGGCAACTGAGTAACCAAGCCCAATGTCACCTTAAGATGACAATTGTTATAAAGTCAGATTTCACTTCCCGTTTTAGGCTCGTCGGGATCACCTCTGTGCTACTGAAGTTAATGGAACCTGGCACCATGCAGGGTTTGTGGCAGCTTATTCCACTGCAATATTGAAGCCTTATTTAGCCCACTTTCTTTAAAACAAGACCTTATTCTAAATATTCATTTTAGGAGGACTGCTTCCATCAGAGACTGATGGACTTCCTACTCAAATATGAAGTCTAACTTACAGTAATTTAACATTCAAGGCAGCAACTGTGTAGGAGTCAAATATCACTCATTTAATATTAAGAAAGTTACCTAGTCCGATATTTACACTCACACTTTGGATTTAAGCTAAAACTATAGTTATGATTGTAGGATAACTAAAATGTCCAGGGAAACTCACTTCTGTAAGCACACAGTGTATATGGCTGGCATTAAAATAGTCATGTAAAGATAATCACTTTAGATCTTCAATCCCCAGCCACCTCACATTTAGGAAAGTTATGCATGTCTCCCACTGCCTTTATAGAGCAGAAGCCAAGTAACTGTATGAGTTTTGTTCTTATTGTTTCCTTGTGCTCCCCCATCACCTGTTGTCTATCATTTTGTACTTAGATTGTAAACTAGTTGGGGTAGGACCTGTGATGTTTTGGGGTTCATCCCAGACTAGTGAGGGGTTGTGTCACCACTTGCCCTGCAGTCCTAGGTGCTCACAGCCCAGGCACCAACAGCTGGCATACATGCGTGCAGATCACACCCTGGCTTCCACCGTCCAGTTACTATTTTCAGAGTGACTCCAACACCACCCAGTCCTGAATTTCCCCAAAATTGTTTCCCTGCAGCATCCAGCCCTCGGACACTCACAGAAGTAATGAAATACCCTGCTCCTTTAAAGAGACCGAAAGAGCAACTTGTTATCTTGACTGGAGCTAAAAATCAATTCAATTGAAGCCTTGGCTTGGTTCAGATAAAAAGCAAAACCGGTTTGAAGGGAGTTCAAGTGTAAGGGATAGAGATAGAAAGGGTTACAGACTAACAAAAGTAAAACTACTCTTGCTAATGGCTATGACCTAACTTAAGCTGCTGTCTTTGTTCAAGGTGGTTTCCTCACCAATTTTCCTTTTCCAGTAGTGGCTGACTAGCTCTTAGTCTCTCCACAGTGTTCAAGGTGCTGCTTTTCCTTGTCTCCTTAGGTGAAGGATAATGTAGGGGTTCGCTCCCCCTCTCTTTGAAATGTATTCTTCTGAAATGTATCCCCAGCTAAAGTTCCTTTCCCGTGCTGGGTGCGAACACCATGCTGTCTTCTTCCCACTGGTGATTTTCACAATGAAATGATCTCTTCCTGCAACCTCCAATACAAAGGAATAGCCCACTGAGTTTGGCCACACTTGGTTTCAGGTGTTGGCCTCTTTCCTTTGGAGAAAACCTGTTTATCAACTCCCCCTGACATGCCTGGTTTAAACATAATTGAATCACCTATTTCCGGCATATATCCATAGACTCTGTTGTGGGTTTGCCATGCATACATCATGCAAGAATATTAATGATCGGTGAGTTATTAGTTTTCCAATGATACATTACATGCCACGTTTTGGTTACAGATTATAACAACAGTGTGTTAGGTGTCGTGAGTATGTCTGGCCTGACAAAGTTGCTGACTCAGCATAGTGAACCACCACTGGCCCTGTGTCACAGGACCATCTTTTTGTTACATGATTCTGCAGTGCCCAACATGATGGGGCTGGAGTCTCTAGGCAACACCACAATACAAATAATAAATAGAGTAGTTTAGCAATACTTCAATGGGCATCTACAATAAATCAATATGACTTTCATGTTAATGTTTATGAGCTCTCAAGAGTAAAACCAAAAAAGAACTTACGTGCACGTGTCAGATGTTTGGCAGCATGTGTGTGTGTTCTCCCTGTGTGCCGTCCCAGTTCTGCGCAGAGAGCTGGCCCAGCAGACCTCAAGCGAACTGTCCAATGACCACAAGATCCATTAAGGTACGAAGGCACCTGGCCAGGTTTATTGTCAGCAAAGCACGGTCCTAGCTCCCCGGATCAATGTCTACAGTAATACTAGCACATGTATGCCCGTGACAATGGACGCAGCTCAGTGAATGGCGGGACTTTCCATTCCCCCCCTCGGCTGGCCAAAGACACTCCCTCTGAGATACGTCTTTATACCCTGATACAAACAAGTTACATATTGTCGCTCTGACATGGCTAAATGCCACCCATTATCTTGTACATGTTGGTTTAATCAAAACATTTTTATTCATTATGTTGTTATCCCGACCTTATCTTTAAGATGGTCAGCGTGTTCCTGTTCTCTTTGGGGAATGCGTTGGTATCGAGGTGTTCTGGTGTCACCCTTCTGGAATGTGTTTGAGGGTGTATTCTGTGCCTAGCACTTCTTAGGAATGAGTATTTCTGCAATATTAGCCCCATTCTTGCCAGATTCTGTGAGCAGGGCCTACCTCTTGCTCACAACCTGACTTTGCTTTATATCACCAAAGCTTTGACCACTACTTTAGCTCAGGCCTCATACCAGGCCTCTGATACAAGGTCTTATGTTTCAGGCCCTCTTCCTACTACAGCATGATGAGCAACAACTAACACTATCCTTGTTAAAAAATAAACAATATATGGAGAAAAAAACATGAATGGATCAACCCAGAAGTCTGCTGACAGCATTACATGTTGTTATGCATGGCCCCAAATTTAGTGAGGGAGGAAATGACCATCAGGGAAGGAAAAGCTGCAGAGATAAATGCACTCAGCCTTGTAAACACCTTGTTGTGCTCTGTATCACCCTTCCTGGGTCACTTCTAGAGCGGCCTCCAAATACTCACTGTTAGCAGCATGGTGGTTGAGCATCAGTACCTCAAGCATGAGAAGGAGGGGAACTACAATGTGTGGTTGCTTAGGACTCAGAGGAGCTGTGAGGTGTGGAAGGCAAAATTCTAACCATCAATTGACAAGGTGGGAAATTAGTTAAAGAACTTCCCAGGCTCATCATAAAGATGAGTTCAGTCACTTCCCCTCCATTCCCAACTATGCCACCCTAGTAGTCTCTCAACTTGAACTCTATAACCTCCTTCTCGCTGGCCACCCTCATTCTCAGCCTTGACCTCTCTGTAATCCATCCAAATGCTGCTGCAAAACACAGCTTGCCCACGTCCCTGATTCATATCCAGCTTCTCTTTATCTTCCATTATGGACGTCCCCAAACCCTTGCATTCAAGGTCTTTCTCCCTGCCTTCAAGGTCCCGCTTCACTTAGCTCCTTCCTACATTTCTGCTCTCATAGTTTTGCTTGTACCCATTTTGCTCTGTCGAAACTGCATGTCTAACTGCCCCTCTTGTGCACTTTCTTATTCTCTTTTCC